GTCCAGGGGATCGACCGGGCGAAGTTTATCTAGGCCCTTGGGCCAAACGGAACACCAGAATGTACGATTTGCCAATCAACAGGTGAGCCGAGTAACCCTCATCATACTGGTGGCTCTTGCATTGCACAATGCACGATTTATAGTAGAGCAGCCTCAGTCGTCCTTACTCCCAGAGCACCCACGGTGGAAAGCTATGATGACCCAGTTTGGCTCCAAGTTCATTTCGATCAATATTTCAATGCGGAATTTTGCTGGGTCGACCCTGAAACCTACTTGGCTGTTCAGTAATTGCGCCAGGATTGCGACGCTGTGCTCACGTGAGCCAATGATGGCTGATGATCCAAACAACGTGCAAACATACGAGAACAAAACGTCGGAAATCACAGGGAAGCCTTATGTAGAGGGGAGCGGCGGGCTGAAAGGGACCCAAGCATACCCCACAGCTTTTGGCAAAGCCGTCGCAGAGACATACGCCAACGAACTGGCCGAAGTGACCTACGGCGAGGGGGTCGAGCTCTCCGATCTCGAAGACGTGCCTACGTCGAATGATCCCTGGGACGATGCCGATTTAGATAGCGTGATTGCAGAGCTGTCTGACGCTCTGCGCGGCGAGAAGCGCACTGTTGCCACCTAGGCTGCCAACTGCACTCACTGGCTGGCATCGACTGCCACAGCAAAACACTTGTCCCTCGCAGATCCTGGTTTCAGGACCCCCATCCTGCCCCATTCCGCCATCGGAGCCCTGGGAACCATTTTTTCTCGCTCGGGACTCGTGGCAACCAAAATTTTGGAAAAATACACTTGCCGACATCAAAATTTCCAGGGCCCCGAGGGAGGCGGCCGACCGTAAGAAACCGGGAGAAACCGTAAGATAACACACTAAAACCGTAAGAAACCGTAAGATAGCCCGCCTGAAAAAATTAAGCCCGCGAACGTCAATCTTGGGATGATTTGAGGCAGCGAACGTCAGTCCTGGGATGGAGTTGGACTTGCGTTCTCACGGTTTGGGCTAACTTACGGTTTCTTACGGTTTCTTACGGTTTCTTAATGGATTTGTGATTCAGACCTGCCCCAACTTACGGTTTCTTACGGTTTCTTACGGTGCCGCAGGCCAGAGCTTTTCTTACGGTTTCAGAGTTCTTGTAACCCCCAGCATGCAGGCCCATGGGGCATGAGCCCATTTCAGCGTGTTTGCAGCCAGTTCAGTGCCCGAGCTTCTGTGGCTTGCCTGTGGAGGCTGCGTGCCATGGCCGCGCGGTCACAGTACTATTTCCTTAAGGACCCCAATGGCCGTATCGTCGTTGATTTCAACGGCAAGGCTATCATGTTGAAGCACTCTGATGTCTTCCAAGTGAAGGTCGAGGGTGCCGATCCTGATCGAGAGTCCACGGCCGCAGGTTCGGGCTTGCACTCCCAGGCGAAGGAGTCAGGGGGGTATCTTCTCTAGACGTCCTACCCCTGTCCCCCCCGAAGAAGGCCCGAAGGGCCCTGAGGGCCCCTTCACGGGCTCCCTGAAAAAGGCCTCAAAGGGGATGTGGGTATGGATGTTGACAATAACTACCCCCCTCAGGAAGAGCCTGGTGATACTGCAGGGCCAACCTCAGGCCTCGCGCAGCCCGTGATGCCGCCCCCCGCGGCCATTAAATCAGCCCCGCCGGAGCCTCCTGCAAGCTTGCGCCCTCAGGCGACCACCTCCTCCTCTTGCTCCTCCTCCTTCTCCACCTCCTCTTCGCCCTCCTCCTCCTCCTCGCCCTTCTTCAACTTGCCTTCGTCCTCTCCCCTTGTCCTTCTCCCTGCTCATCTTCCCCCTCGCCCCCCTGCTCCTCGGGGGTGGCCAGAACCTGCGCAGGCGGAGCCGTGTGATGATGAGTTCGGGACTCCGACGAAGCGCAGGCGGCTGCGAGGCAAGACTCCGTCGTCCCCGGGATTGCCAGGGAGTGAGCCTATTGATGACACGACTGCCGCGCCATCGGAATCCCAAGGCCCCGAGAGTTCGCTGTCCACTCCCAAGTCAGTGTCCGTGCCCCGCCAAGCAGACGGCAGCGTTAGCGGCGCGGATCTCCGCGAAGCACTGTTCGAGGCCCAAGCTTCCCTTGGAGAGGCTCGCAGAGCAGCTAAATGGAATAGTATGACCAGGAAGCTCCAGTCAAAGAGTTGCCCTCCTTTGATCAAAGAAAAATGGGCCATGGCTGGTGCGGACAAGAAAAGCAAAAACGAAGTCTTTGCATTGTTTTTGGGGTGCGGCGGAGAAGTCGGAAAAATGGCTGTGATCGAGGAGATGGTCAGGACTCATGGGCAACAATCCTGCTCCTAGCACGTGGGGTTTACATTGGGGCTGGGGGGGCCAGGTGTGCCAGAGTCTGGGGGCCATGCCTACCTACCTCTCTCTCTCTCTCTCTCTCTCTCTCTCTCTCTCTCTCTCTCTCTCTCTCTCTCTCTCTCTCTCTCTCTCTCTCTCTCTCTCTCTCTCTCTCTCTCTCTCTCTCTCTCTCTCTCTCTC